TCGTCGTGTGGGTGATTGTCTTCTCTTTGATGATTGGTGCATGGTTGTTTTCAGCAGTAGCCATGATGGTGTTCGTGCGTGAGTGCTCGGTGTTCTTGACGGCTGRGGATAATATGTGTTGGAAAGCAAAAGGAATTTGGGGCGTTTTTTTCGGGTGCTCTGTACTTCCCATAGTATCGACTATTGGCGCTCTATTCATGTACTGAAAAATGAGGTTGTCAACATTCCTCTTGGTCTACTATTGTCCATCGAATGGAGGATTGCGTTAGTTTGCGGCAGTAATGATGAATGGGTTACTGAAAGGGTGAAAATGGGTATTCGAAAGGATGGAGACGCGAGGGAAGTGGATGTGGTCGGGAGGCATGAGTTCTTGTTTCTGTGTTATTGGATGCGGGGAAGATAGGTGGAAAAACCTTCCAAAATTGAAGTATGGAAGCAGCATAGAGGTAATGGAATCCAGGGGAAGGTGCGTTGATGGATGTCTACGTGCTTAGAGAACCTGCGGCTGCATCTGTGGTGGTATTCGGATTGTTACTACCGGAAAGGGTGAGGATGGGTGTTCGGGTGAGTGGAGGAGTGCGGGGTATGATGTGATCAGTGTGGCACTGACGTGTATTGCTGCGTGAGTGGAAATGGGGGTGATAGGAGGTGAAGCCTTCCTTTGGATACGGAAACGACAAGTAACTTCATGAGTGCGTGATGATGACCGGCTRTGTGATATGGGCAAGCATGAAATTTCGAGAGTATCGGTTAAAACGGGGGATATTCCTCAGAGTTTTTTTCGAAATCTGTTCGGGGTCCGGGGTGGATTAAGTGTTGAGAATATGGGGATGTAACTCGTTCGGGATAAATTTTGGGCATGGATCAAGGGTTGCCGCGGTGGATCAAGCTCGGGTTATGAGGGATCGCATGATGTTTCTGAAATCCTTCCGTCGGAACTGATAAAATTGATTGAGCTTTGGATCATGAAGTGTTATAATTTCCATCTGCTCCCTCATGTGCSAAATTACGTTTGCGGTGTGTATGGTGCTTTGTGGTTTAAATAATTTGGTTTGGAGGTATCTTCATAATAAATCACTGACGCTTGTCTTGATTATTTCAAAACGACATGAGATACGTGTGTTMTGATCGGGTATAGTCATGGAAAGGCTTGAATTAACCCCCCTATCTTGGTTTTTGTTTTTTCCTTTTAAATAGGCTCCCTTAGTGCACAGAGAATTGTGGTTAGCGCATTATCTTTGCTCTTCACATTTGGATTCATATGTTTATTATCGATCATCGGTGATGTACCTTATGCATGTATGTTCGAGGAAGAGTAAATGGATTKCTYGATTGAAAGTCACTTGCCGACTTACTAAAAAGAAATGGACAGTAGGTTCATCAATCAATGRGCCTTCTTYGGGATAAGATTGGTAGGATTTATCGTCTAGACATATGGTCGTATTTGGTGTCACAGTGAAATAATTCTCCCMGTTTTTCTTTAAGTTTAGTGCTTCCTATGATTCTGCCACGATGCCTATTGTTGCGTSTAATCATGCCTACCAACTGGGCGTTTTACCTTTGATTGCACAAAATTCACAAATATTCCATTAGGTGGGAAAATGTCGGACTAAATGGTTTTTGTACTGTATGGAAACCCCCCGTGAGGGAATTAGTTTCGTATTTCCTTATTTACCATACGGTTGGGATCTGCGTTGTCATAATAAGGTATACTGTATTGTTTTGTTTGCCACGCGGATATGCGCGTGGTGGCTTCCTGTTCAAATAAAACACACACATAGTAGGGGTTACTTCTTTGTCCCCTTTGTAGCTATCAAGGGGGTCGACTCCTCCTTGTCAAACATATCATATACCTTTCGCCTTATAACATATAATCGGATCCTGCATATGGATAATCGGAAACGAAATGATGCCCACATTTCAGGGGAATTTGGTGGTTGTTTTTTAAACCGAAAATTTAAATCCGATATTGAACACCTTGCTTTGTTTGTGTGTGTGTGACAGAAACCTTCTTTCACGCCAAATGGATGGTATGCTGATTTGGTGCAGGGTGGGCAATCGTGGTTGGATGAATTCAAAGCACCTTCCCGCCTTGCTCAAGCTCTAATAGCCTTAGCTAACCCAGTTGTCCTGAATTTTGTTAGAGCCAACTCTTTCAATGTCCCTCCCCCTTACCCACCACTTGTGTCTATTCTACGTTTTAATGACTGGGCGGACCTCAGCTGGACGGCGACTTACGATGCAGYTTCTTTTCCTCAGGTTACTAGAGATCTAGTTGAGAACGCTAAGGATATAGCGGATGAGGACATCCTGGTCCATGCTTGTATGACGGATGTGTTAGCTATGAAGGAGAAAACCTTCGTAGACCTCTGGGGGGCCAAATCCGCCTTCCATAGCGGATTAGTGAATGTCCCTGTCACTGATTCCTTCGATTCGGACTCCGACTGTGATGGTTTGGACCTCACGGAAGAGGAAAAGCGCTTCCACGCTGCGGAAGTGGCAAAAACCCAACAGGACCTTAGCAATGGTATGGCTAAGGACAAGCGTAAGTCGGTGTCCAAATATCTGAGGAATGCGTTCCTCCCATTAGTACCGAGCAGGTGGATAGAGGTGGAGTCTACGAAGCTCAACAACAAAGTATGGGAACTGGACACTTACAACCGCTCTGCTCCCATTAGCAACAGGGCGTATCAGCTTCTGGCGTCCATCACGGAGGCTGAAATGGACTCGTGCTTAGATAAAGCCATGGGTGAGGACACAAAACTCATCAAGGGCCCATACCCGATTGGTCTGGATGCCATGGCCCTACCGCCAGTTGGGCACTTTGATCACACTAAGTGTTCTTTGTCTGGCTCGTAGCTACAGATCAGAAGTTTTTGTGTTGCGAGGGAGGCAGATGTTGTTTCTGAGCTAAAAAGAATTTGGAATGTAGGTCGACCATTGCTCAAATGCAGATGCATTGATGAGGGTAAGGAGGATTGCAAAACCACTATCACGTGGTTTGACCACGTCATGTGGTATCTGCTGGCCAACATTGAATATCTGTATCCTGCTGCCCCCTCGCTCAGGGCCCGAATCAGAGCCATGATAAACTTTCTCAAAAAAACATGGCGAGCCCCCATCCTTGCGTCCATTGTGTTTTTCACATATGAGGCTCATCATGACTCAAATGGGTGAGAACGTGATTCTCAACCCCAGTAGAAGGCAGGATACGATTCATGATGATCCAGGGGTTATGGCACACAAATTCCCACGGAAGATGGCTGCGCTAATCCTTCCTGATAAGTACATCAAGAGTCCGGCAAAAAAGCGAAGAGTCAAGGAAAAAGACAGACGGCCTGTGAAGAGGCAGAGCAACACGCTGCTTAAATATTATGTCAGACCTCCGGTTGCGGATGTGCAGCAGGATCAGCGTCTTGGTGGTGGCCAACTGGCGGTTAACCCGACCTCGTCGTGGGCGGACTTGGATAGTGTTGATGTGCAAGAAACTCCTCCTTGCTCCTCGATCACGATCTAATCTGGATATGAAAGCTCGGTTGCAAGCAAGCAGCTGAGAAGAAGCCCCAGATCTTCGACAGCAAGGGCGTCGCTGTTTAATAAATATTATCCCATTTAACATTTTTTGTATGCGTCGTTTCTTTGTTTGCAGGGTTCGGAAGGATATCTGGTTACTGATGAGGCAGGGAGACTTAAATGGCAGGCGAAGCAGTGTGGAAAAGGCAATTTGTTTGTCCATGTCAAGTATGCCAATCGTGCTATGGAGGCGGTCAGGTTCAACGAGATTGTAGAGAAGGCCTTCGAATTGTTCTTTTCGCCTGCGGCCGTTATCCTCCTCTCTTCGCTCGTCATTGGATGGACATACCTGAGCTCCCTGAAGTCAGTGGTATCTCTTCCTACTCAAGTGTTCAGGGATTTTGATCTTAAACATTGGATCCTTGAATGCTCTAGAGGAAACACATGTCCATGTGTGCGCAGGCGTTTTCTTTCTTTTCATGCTGATTGCACAAAGGATATGGCTCAGCCATTTGTCTCACCATCCACCCATGTGTTGACATTGGATCCTTGTATTTCGGCTAATGAAGAACTCGTGTCGCTTCTMAAAAACGGCATCAATCACATCCCCCTCCAACCAATGACTATTGCTATTGCAAAAGGGGGGTTCTTAAGGGTCTGGGATAAGATTGTTGAGCTTGTTATCGCAAGAACTTTTCTTCCCTCTAGGGTTGTAAGGGAAGCGTACAAATTCGTCAACAATGAGATCTCGCAGCAACTTTCTACCTCTTGCCTTAAAAGGCATAGAGGACAACGTTGCGTATTGGATAATCACGCCGTAAAAAATGAAATAAAATTTCTCACTAAGTTTGTTTTTATATCGGGAACGGATAAAGCATCGAACATGTCATCATTTACATGCATTCACTTAGCGCGCAAGCTTGCACTTGCAGATGTTAACAGTGTGGATTTCGAACCTGTGACTTATTTACCCGAACAAATCATACGTGAAGCTAGGCAATCTCTTTCGATAATCCTACTAAACGAGATTGATATACCAGACAAAATTTCGTTCTTAATGGCTCTTTACAAGCACCATAAAAAATCGTTCAGGTGGATAACTAATACATCTGCGTCCTTTCTCACCGTGGTAGCCAAAATCTGCAATGCTTCAATTAAAGCAATAATACCTTTAGTTAAAAGAAGATGTAAGGTAATTACGGATGGTATTCGGAGTTTTCTTGAGGTTGAAACTTCTTTGTGGTGGTCGGTTGATTCTGTCAAAGACTACTGCTACAACCTACCGGAAAAAAATATTTTCTGTGTTCTGAGCGGATATCGCTCATTGCTTCGAGACTATTCCTATTGGGCAGGAGGAGGATGGGCTCCCGACGGCGATTGGGTTCTTTCTAGATTGGGGATGAAAAATGATGGGCACGGCCAAATTTCTCAAATGCAGGATAGCAGTAAATGGTGGGATGTCGTGTAAGCCTGTGGAACGATTGGGGCAGAACTCGAAAAGAGTAATATACCTTACCAATGATAGGATAATCCTTCTGGTTCCATGGGTACTTAACAGGTGCTTCACATGCCTCGGCGGCTGCTTCTGGAGGCAAAAATCGGGCATCCCGATGGGGCTTCCATGCTCCCCTGCTTTTTGCAATGTCTATTTTTTCAAGTATGAAAATAAGCTGATAATAAAAAATTTAGACAACAAAGCATATGAAATTCTTCTACTTTTCAGAAACGCATTCAGATACATTGATGACTTGCACTGCTTGAACAATCCTTTCATTCTGAAGTTTTTGGACCCCGAAGCTTCTAAAAATGAAGGTAGTATCTATAGGTTATACCCTATGGCTCTTATCGAAATTGAGAATCAAACGGAGGTATTCATTGAAGGGATGTCGGTAGAAATTACGGTTTAAAAACCCTATTCCTGATTCTTGAAATTTATGTCGTCTCGGAACGTACAGGTGAATATATTACTAAGAAATTTGATGAGAGGAGATTCATGGACTTCACCATTTCTAAATACATGAAATTTCATTCAAATACACATGTTCAACAGTCGGTTAACATTATAATCTCCTAGGCGGCCACATTCTTGGTGCTGTGTTCCGAACCATCAGATGCAGCTAACGAATTATGGTGCATTATGGAGGAGATGATTAAAAATGGTTTCCACAAGCAAAAGTGTCTAAGATGTATGTATTTGATTCTTAACTCTCCACATCTGTACATGAAACCCAGAGTGAATGTCCGAGCAACGAGCCTCATCTTCAAGGTACCCTTCTTTCCCCTCCTATGTATGATGAAGTGTGAATGAAAAAACGTGTGTATAATTGTGCTGTGTTTGTGAAAAAATATTTTTCTGTCCCGACCGGTAAGGACTGTGAAAGGATGCTGGCAGGTACCTGTCACCATCCTCAGCAGCAACCTGCCAGCAGGGATTGGGGTGAGACACACACACACACACACACATACACACACACACACACACACGCACACACACACACACACACACACACACACACACACACACACACACACTCACACATTTTTTTATATATATATATATGTTTTTTCCTTCCTAAAAAAAAATATTATTTTTAACTTATATTATTATATACAGGGTTGCCAGGTCGAACGTACGGAGGCCCCTAAGCTCACCCCCGAACGTTCGGGCGTTCGGGTCCCCGTACGGGGCCCGAACTCGAAGGGGTTCGGACCCCGCCAAAAACTATTTTGGTACCTAAACATTATTATTTTTTTCTGAATTTGTTTTTGTGAGTTCTTGGTTATGTAAGCTACCTGCCTGTAAATTGTCAAGGCATTATGTGAAGCCAAAAAATAATGACAAATCGGCAAAGATGGTGGTGTCAAAACTTGCTTGCCCACTTACCAATTTGTTTTTTTTCTCTTTTCACATTTTGTTTTCCTTTTATTTCGGGGCATGGAAAAAATTATTATTTTTTCAAACTTTATTCATAGGTTCTATATTATGTAAGATACATATGTATAAAATTTCATGGCATTTGACAAAGCCAAAGAAAAATGAAAAATCTCCAAAGATGGCGATGTCAAAAACGTCCATGCCCACGCAATAATTTCTTTCTGGTTTTATTTTTTCTTATTTTCAGTAATATTATTTATTTTTTGTATTTGATTTTTATTTCAAATTTGGTAACGAATTTGGATGTACTGTGGAGGCAAAAGTTGTTTAGTTTATTCATCTACATCACATATATTGTTT